TTTCTTCTACATCTCATTGTGTGTTTTAAATTCATTTAATATGCCATGTTATTTGGGCACCTTAATTTGGTCTGTAAGTCCTTCTATTCTGAGATTTCTAGGGTAGTAACTGGAGGCTACCATTTCATCAGGGTAATTTCCCACACAGCCATAATAACAAAATCAATGATATTTTAAACAGTGGTTAGAACCCTTTATTAATATTTTAACCAGTGATTAGAAATAGTTTTGATATATATTATGTAAAAATTTTAGTTGAAAATTTAATAAAAAGTGATTGTAGGATTAAACACACATATACACCACAGAATGACGTTGTACAAATATACGAATTATCAAATTATTTCATGAAATGGAAGGAGCTCTTTTACATACATATATATGTACGTACATACATACATGTACACGCATACATGCATGCACACACACACGTACACACATACACACATGTACACACATACATGCACATACATACATGCATGTACACACATACATGTACACACATACATACACATGCATGCATGCATGTACACACATACATACATGTACACACATACATACACAAATATCTATACATTCCCAGATTTTGATTCTAGAAACTATGCAAACTATTAGACAAGAGGTGACTTTTTCAAGCAAGATAAATATAACAGATATTTATTGAAGGCCAACTATTTGCCAGCCCTAGAGTCAAAACCAATGCCAGTTTAACTTTGTTGACATAAACATATTATTGGTATTGACTTGGTTTACACTTTTAGTTAAGGTTATTATGTATTGTAAAAAATGCATGAATTTTAATCATAGAACAAATTCAAGAAATGTACATTTGCCTTGTTTTAGCCAATATATGTGAAGAAATGTAAAATGCCTTTTACAACTTGTCATTGAAAAAAATGCTGACAAGATCCATTATATATGTTTATAATATACTCTCAGATTATAAATCTAAATAGGTTTATTAATGTTTTCTAACTAGATTTTAATTGTTAAGGTCAACATTAAATGACTGTTGAGAATAATATTGCTAGCATATGAACTTGTCACTTGTTTCTACTTAAGCCTTTTTTTCTCCCATTAAGTACCAGTGCATTTAAGGTAACATGTACTTTTAAATATATTAAAAATAAAGTATGTTGCTGTGATAGTTAATATTGTATGTCAACTTGATTGGATTGAAGGATGAAAAGTATCGTTCCTGGATGTGCCTGTGAAAGTGTTGACAAAGGAGATTAACGTTTGAGTCAGGTGGACTGAGAGAGGCAGACCAATCCTCAATCTAGGTAGGCACCATCTAAACAGCTGCCAGCACAACTAGAATAAAGCAGGCAGAAAAACGAGCAAGGATTATACATGCTTAGTCTTCCAGCCTTCATCTTTCTCCCTTGCTTCCTGCCCTTGAACATCAGACTCCAGGTTCTTTCGGCTTTTGGACTCTTGGACCTATACAAGTGGTTTGCCAGGGGGCTCTCAGGCCTTTGGCCACAGACTGAAGCCTGCACTACTGTTGGCTTCCCTGCTTCTGAGGTTTTGGGACTTGGGCTGATCCATCACCAGTTTCCTTGCTCCTTAGCTTGCAGACGATCTGTTGTGGAACTTTACCTTGTGATCATTAGTCAATTCTACTTATTAAACTCCCTTTCATATATATCTTATTAATTCTGTCTCCCTGGAGAACCCTGACTAATAAAGTTATTACTGTTCTTAATTCATCTCCAGCTTGAAACTAGACGTCTTTTCTCCTTCTTTACCATGAGTATGCTCTGACATTTCAGTTCAAAGTCACTCGACTCTATTAGAATCTGCCAGCTACTAGTTCCACTGTTTCAAACCTACAGCAATGGTCTTCCAGACTTTCGTCAGCCACTTTATTCAAATAACTTATGTTAGTAGTAGGTATTGTTAGTAGCAATACCTATTGCAGTTTCATTGCAGAAACATAGGATGAGAAAGCAGAAATTCAAAAAAACTACTAAGTTTCCTCCCTGGTGATGACTAAAATTACCCTAAAGCAAACAAAATTGGACCAAGAAATACTGCCTGAGGGTCCATGGCTTCTTTCTTTATGAATTCTGTTTTACAAACATTGGAGAATGGCTGCCAATTTAAAGACACCAGAGGGTAGGGATGTGTATTTAAGATAGACTGAGTTCAAATCCTTGCTGGGTCAGTCAATTTCCATATGATCGTGGGCAAATCGCATAATCTTTTGGGCCTTTGCTTTTCCATTTGTAAAAGGGAGATAATAATAGTTTATATCTTATAGCATTGCTGTGAGGATTTAATGAGTTAACATTTGTGTTTAGCATAGCACTGGAGAAATGGCAGATTGGAGAAACGAGAGAAGTGCTAACGAATATTGCTGTGGTTCTGAAAAAGCAGCAACTTGAGGAGCTCTTGAAAACCTAAATAGTATTTAAGACCAAGAGTATTCATCTATTGTCAGGACCAGCAGAAAAAAATATGTGAGAAGCAACTTTGAAGTAATGCTGCATTTCAGCACACTTTACCCGAATGGAAATGCAGGTGACTCAAGCAGGCCATGTTTTCCAAAGAGCAAGGGATCAATTTGTTCTTGATGGGTGGTTTAAATCTTAAGAAAACCATAAATAAGGCAACAGTCATGGACTTTGAATACTAAGTCAGATTAAATAAGTTGCAACTTTTTCCATGTAATTGCAAAAGCTAGAAAACTTTCATTAGTAATTTATTTTAAAGACAATTGCCCAATTGACATTGTCTTTGAAAAAAAAGATATTAAAAATTTATTAAACTATAATTTTATTGTTAATTATTTGAATTCAAGGAGATTATTATGGTAACTTCTATGAGGTTTAATTTTTACTTCTTTCTACATTGTAATTTTATTAGTTATCTTAAGGCAGTTTCAAATTATTTCATCAATCTTCATCTTTGCTTTTAATTTATGCAGTGGAATTTACTTGTTCATTGGTATGAGTAATTTTCAATATTTTGCCAAACAGCCTGTGGCAACTGAAAACACAAGTTGCATACATTAGACTTTTCTGTTTGAGCGCAATGCAAAAACAAACAAACAAAAAAAAAACAAAAAAAAAAAACAAATTATGCTACAAACCCAACTTCATTGAACTGCAGGCACTCATAACTCATTAAAAATACTGTTAAAATATCTGTATTTATGAAAACAAATTTGACCTACATATTTGGGAGGCAAATAGTAGAGCAAAGCACATCTATGACTATAATAATTTTTAATTCTACTTTGTTGTAATTTATGTTTTTTATCTCCCCACTCTGACAAAATGCTTTATATATCATTCAGTTCATGTTATTCTACAGCCTACTATATTTGAAGCACAATAAATAGTTGTAGACCAATTTTCTTAATGTTATATACTCAGATTATACTTTAACATTCACCCTACAAATAAACTTCCCATCAATTTCATAGTATTGTGAAAACTCTCTAGTAGCTCAGAACATTCTTGGTGGCCTCAACGTATTCAAAGTATGCAGTCAGATACTGATGTCCCTCAGTCCTGTGGACAACTAACAAAGCTGAAACCCACAGGCCAGTGAGCACCAGTTGAGAACAACTTTCTATAGGCTTCGTGGACAGCCCAAGAGAGAGAGGATCTGAGATGTGAGGAATCTCCTCTGGCAGTAGTGATATCTAATATTGAGCTCTGTTAGATGGTGCTAAGTGTGGCCTCTGAAGTTTCTTATTGTCTGAACACCTGCTTCCTTCACCGGTTGCAGAGAACACAGTGTCCATAAAGGAGCTGAAGGAGGCGCTAGAGGAGTTTACATTGCAGGAGTCCAAGAAGCTCTGCAGCAGTCCCAAAACGAGGCTGGGCGCATGGTCCACATGTTGATCCGTATTCTCTTGTCTTCACACATATGCGTATCAGTCCTTCTGTGGCTGCTACATCCTTGTATGCGATCCAATCCAGCTGCAGTCTTGCTCTTCCAATGCATACTCATTTTGCAAATCAGAGCTTCAAATCAGTGCTATGAAAAATCTAACTGGTCTTGAAATTCATTGACACTATCACAAGAAAATTCAACATGACATTGTCATGAACAGAAATGGATGATTGCTTCATATTCTTAAATATAATTTCCAACTATGGTGAAATTTTGAATGGTTGTAAAAATTGTTTTTGCATGTTTATACCTCACTTATTTTGTTGAAGGAGACTATCTAGAGTTTGAAATAATTCACATCAAGAAGTCCATCAATAATTATTTCAAATATAAAAGTGACATGAAAAAATTGAGTTAATGAAAACAAACTCAATTTTTTCATAAAAAATATGAAATGATATGTGGAAGTCTATGAGCTTGTAAATTGAATAATTTCTGTTATTTTTCTGTTTGATATTTATCATAGTTATGTAATACAAAGAAAACATGCTTAAATTTTAAACTAAATAAAACTGAGCTCCACTACTCGGGAGGCTGAGGCAGGAGAATTGCTTGGTAACCTGGGAGGCAGAGGTTGCAGTGGGCCGAGATGGCGCCATGCCACTGCACTCCAGCCTGGCGCCTGGCGACAGAGCAAGACAGTGTCTCAAAAAAAAAAAAAAAACAACTTTGCTCCAGAAAGACATCTTTTTCTCTGAGCCATGACTCTGAAAGTTTGGAAAGCACCGTACAGTAGGGATTTTCAGTGAGTCACAGAATGCAAGGTTCTCCAAAGTACTTTCAAAACTGAGCGTGAGTGTGAGGCCTTTGCTACTGGCTTTCTGGCATGCAGATCACTCAGCCTCAAGAACTCAGTTCCTTCCTCCAATGTAAAAAGCACTGCAAGAACATTTCACGGTTCCGTCAAATGGGACCATGCGTAATATTTCACACTGGGCTACACAATAGGCTGGAAAAGTGATCCGCAGAGAGGCTCATTGCTGTAAGTTCACTCCCTGTACCAACTGTCTTGCACAAAGCTGCCACCCTGTGTTTTCTTCCAACGTTTCCTCTGGGAGGACTTCAAAACTTCCTTCTTCCAGTCTGTGCAGGGGTCAAGGGGCCTGTCTAGAGTAGCCGCCCAGCATCCGGCTCCGAGAACCTTTTCCCTTTCCTCTGGGAGACCTGAATGGGCGCCAACCCAGCCCTGGTCTCCCGGCTCTGCTGCGGAAGCTTCCCACCTGGTGCCCGGCGCTTGGGATGCCGCCGACGGGCTCGGTCCAGTGTCCCTGTGCCTTCTCTGCAGGTGTCCCACCAGGTAGAGGAGGAGGCCGGAGACTTGTGTTCCTGCAAGGCGGGGCCGGTGCTCCTCGTTGTGCTTGCGCTCGCCCTGCACGTTCTGCGCTCCAGGGCCTGGCAGGGACCAAAACAGGCCGGGGAGCAGTGACACCTGGGGCAGTCAGTCATCCAGGAGCCGCCGCCACCTGCCCCACCCCCAATCTCCTCGGGAGGTGTTTATCTTTGCCTGCGCTCCCGGCTCTTTCTCTTTCACTTTTCTTTTCGCCGGAGGTTGGGACTCCGGGTGGAAGGTGCCCGGGGGAATCCCAGCTGACTCGTTCACTGCCTTCGGAGTCCGGCGCCCTCGGGGAACTGGGTGTCCGCTCCCGCCCGGCTGCAGTGGCTGTCGCCCCCCAACCCTGCAGCCAGGACTCGATGGAGGTACAGAGCTCGGCTTCTCTGCTTTGGGAGGGGAGTGGTGGTGGTTAAAAGGACAATGGAATTTTCCCCGAAAGCCTACGCCCTGGGCCCCTCCCAGCTCCGGCGCTACCCTCTGGTCTACCCGACTGGCCCGGCCGCCCCGCCCTCTCACGGGGAAAACTTAGCCGCAACTTCGATTTTTGATTTTTCCCCTAATGACACTTTACTCCTCTCCAAGACTCTCCTCGCCATCCTCCTGCTTCCGGAGGAGCGCAGATCGCTGGTCCCTTTGCCCCTGGCGTGCGGCTCCCCACTGAGCTGCACCCTTTCGGAGTTCCCGACTGCTGGCGAGCGCGAGGCAGGCCCGGCACCCTGCGCTCCCCTGGGAGGGTGAGGGACGCGCGTCAGGCTGCCCAAGCCAAACTGCCGGTTTCTGAGAAGAGGCGGTCCCGCAGCCCTGAGGGCTGAGTTCTGCACCCAGTCAAGCTCAGAAACGCCAAGAAAAGGTACTTCAGCTCCCCACTTCCTATCTGTCCCCTCTCAAACTCCCTGTGGGCCGGCCGGTGCAGATGTCTGCGTGCGCGTCTATTTCTACCTTTGCAAAATCGAATTATCGCCCTCTTCTTTGCTTGCACACGTCTTCTGGAAGAAAAATTTGCAGGAATGATCACTGCTTGACAGTCAGGCCTGGGTCTGTATTGGTTCCAACTCTGCGCAAGCCAGTTATCTCTTAGAGAACCAGTTGGGTGTCTGGAATGCCAAAGCAACTTGGAAAAAATGCGAGCGAATTTCACTGAAATAAAATCATTATTCATTGATTTTCATAAAATCATTATGAAAATCCAGCCAGTTTTTTCAAGTGTTATTGAGACTGCATGCTGCATGGGCATACATATAGTTCATTTGATTTTATGTAATTCCATGCATTAAAAACTATGTTGACTTCAAAGTGTGTGTAAACTAAACCAAACTAATTCTTAAATGATGCTTACAACAGATTCTCAAATAGGATGAGTCAGCAATTTCAAAACGAAGTAAAGTGGTGGTCACCAGCTAATTTCTACTATATATCTTTAAACTACTTTATAATATTATGATACTGGTAGTGGCTAAGTGGTAGTCATCCTCATCTTGTCAGTGTGGCGAAAGAGGCCATATTAGCTAGACTGAATTCTTGCTCCAGTATTGCAGAATAAACTGGTGATTATGCATCCTGCCATGTAGAGGCTGCAAAGTGAACCATTCAATTGAAAGCATCAAGATGCAATACACTTTTGGAAGGCTGAGATGAGAGGATAGCTTGAGACTGGGAGCTCCAGGCTACAGTGAGCTATGATCTGTCACTGCACTCCAGCCTGTCAATATATATATAACAGGTTAAACATATATATATATATATATATGTTTAACATATATATATAACATACATATGTATAACAACAGCCTGTTGTTGTTTTTGTGTTAAATAATGTGGTCAACAGAGGAAGGAGATACAAAGGAAGGAACATAAAGACATATAAAGGGAAGAACTGAAAACACAGCACAAGCCATTTAGATTTAAAAAGAGAACGAAAAGCTAATTTACTTAAAGTTAAGAAGTATCAGAGTTCTTAAGGTTTGTTATGATTGTCTTAGCTTCGTGTCCGTGTATTTCTGTTTTCTCACAGAATTTTAGTCAATCAGAAGAGCATCTCCTGAAGTATCACCTGCTTTGCAACAGTGACAGAGAAAGGTCAGTTGGCCATTGGTCTGGAACTTCTGATAGGCAGGGCGTTCCCATACTTTTAGTTTCACTGTTCCCTGCTGATTTGGAATGGCAACTCCAGAACATGACTGGAAGCTATAGTTCTGGTTGGAATTTTCCTGCAGGCTACCAGTGATTAAAATGATGCTCTTTTGTTTTAATCCATGAAATTAATGTTGCAAATGTCAACCGCTATATTGCAAGATACAGTGTTTTCAATGAAATATATGTTTATAAATTTCTTTGGGGGATGGAGAAAAACAGTGGTTTAAAGTTTATTGAAATCAAGTTTGGAAGTAGAGGGTTTTAAAGCTTAGGAGGTACCTCATCTCCTAGGCTTCATCTTAGATTTGGTGCCTCTGATGGATTTCTGGATAGCTAGAAAAGGAGCCCTGAAATGCTGGGTATATGTGGATGTTTCTCAGAAAAATATCCATAACTTTGATTAGCTTTTTAAATGGGTCTCTGACCCAAAACAGTTTTTAACCTTTTAAAAATATAGACTACTGTCCTTTTCCCCCAACCTTTCCTGGAGTTTAATGTTGAGTTCTGCTCATTGTGTTAACTATTTTTCTGAAGGTTAGCTAATGATAATACAGAGTTCTGTCTTCATACCCATAACTTAAATTATAAGAAACAATATGAATAATAGCTAACATTGTTGAGTTCTTATTATGTATCAGACATTGTTCTAGGGATGTATTTTTAAAAATCATCATAATAAGCTTATGTGGTAGGGAATATATTTTACAGCTGAGGAAATTGAAGTATAGAGTAATTAAATAGCTTTCTCAAGGTCACAGAGCTAGAAAGTGGCAGAGCTAGAATTCCAACTCAGACAAGTTTAAGATTGCTGTTATTTAAGGAGGATGATATTATTTGCATAAAAATATTTCCTACGATTTGACAGTGATCATTAGTCTTTATTTATTTTCAGGCAGTGTTGTAATGGTAAAATGTTGGTTTTAAAGGAATGTTTCTATGGTACTTGTGCAATTGACATTATTATGTATTTAAAGATTATCTTTATAATCAGTATTCATTTGATTAGCTATATGTGTTTGGTTCACTGGAGAAATTTTTTAATAGTCCCTGAATGAAAACATTTGTCTGAGTTGCATCACTTTCTGCTGGAAGAGCTTGACAATGTGGATTGATCTGGATATCTGTCTCTGTCTATCTGTCTCTTCATCTATCCATACAACTAGAAGGCTGGGATTCATGGAGAGCTCAGAGAAGACTTTCCTATAATACCACAAGTGGAGATGATGTAGTTAACTAATTGGGATGTCCTCTTTTCAGGCGGTGTTATGGTAGAAGGATTGGCAAGAAGCCACTTCTTTAGCTCAGTATTAGCTCTTTGATTTACTTACCCAGTGATTATAGTAACTGCATGAAACTATCGACACTGAGCAATGCTTAAATACTTGCTGCTGTCCTATAGGAATGGGTTGGATGGAAAAATTCCCTAGGGGAGTTGACGGAAAAATTGTGATTTTAGTGAGAACTGGAATGCATTAGCTAACACCTGTTTGATGGTGAATTTCACTAATTAAATACTATCAAGTATATGTCTGTATGTGTGCATAATGCATATATGTGTATACATACTGTATATGTGCATATATGTATGTGTGTGTATGTATATATTGCACCATTTGTTAACAGCTGTGGGCAGACATAAAAGCTACTTTTTACTCTGCTTCCAGACTGTATTGATTAGGTAAACATAAGTAACTAAGAAATCTTGACAGAGAGCCTGAATTACTGTTATTAGCAGTGCCATTCCAGTAGGAACCCAATGTGAATTTGAAAGTTACAAAAAGGAAGCCTCTGCTATGTTTCAGGAAACATACTGGCACTTCATCTGTATGTCCTCATTGAATTTGAATAACTATTGCATTTTTATCGTGACTTCACAAAGAAAAAAAAATGGCATGCAGTGTTTCACTTGCATTAGGACACAGCTAGGTAAGACAGACACTCTACTGAGATTTAACTTGATTCCAATGTTAATGTTCTTTTTCAGATATCATATGTATTCTCTTCTAGGAAAACTCAGGTGTTCAGTGTAATGAAAAATAAAATGTCGCTATCCTGGCCTTGAAATAGATGCTGGTCACCGTTTGATGTGATTTAATACTATTTAGTACTTTGCCCATATCAAAGAATATTGTCCTTTTTTTAAAAAAAGTTTATTGCTAGAATCAGAAAGAGGAGAAAAAGAAGCTCTTTGATCTCAGTTCAATTCAGTAATATTATTTGTACACATTTAACATCTAGAGCCAGGGTATTTGTATGCACTTGTTTTATGGTGTTTCATTCCACTCCAGGGGCAGAGGACTCAATGTAGACCATACAAAAATGGATTTTTTTTTAAAGTCTGCTTGTAATACACACATGTTTCCTCTCTAAATGCTAATGGTTCTTCCAAGTGCTGACAGGATGCAGACAAGATTAGGAAAGTGACAAATTATTTTGTGAAATGAGGGAATTGAAACTGAAAATGGTTCTAGAATAAGAAAATATGATGTTTGTAAGGTTTATAGAGGTGGTGGTGGGGGTAAGCTCTGCTTATCACTGTGACATACAAAAGGAGCCCAGAGAGGTCTTGGGTCCCTTATTATCACTGAATACTTCTGCTTCCTGGGTATTCTGCTCACGTGCCTTCTAATTGAAATCTGACAAAGTAGTCCTTGCATGCTGTTAGCACTGACCTTTAAAATTATCAAATAATTATTTCTTAATTTAACATTTTACAGTTAAATATTTCATATTTTGGAGTTATTTGCTCTCCTGACTCATCTGCAACAGAAATAAGCACATAAAGCTTGATTTTTTAATTGAAGGGTTTTTATTGTGAAAATTCTTGCTTATGTTATTTAAAATACTATCATTACAAAACTAATCAAAGGAATCATTAGTTTTTGATAAGTGATTATTAAGCATACAAATAAAACAATATTGGAAATATATATCATGCAAGTAGATATGTCAATGCTTTTTTTAAAGATGTCTCCTATATAAAATTATCCCTTTATTTGGCACCCTGGTGAGGCAAGGCACATGCTAAGATTCTGGATGAAGAGACATAGGCATTTTTTTCCTAAAGTGGGAGAATGGTAATTATGAAAGAGGAAGTGAGAAAGGAGAACTTGCCAGAAATCTGCTTGCTTTGGGCACATATCAGGCATATCTCTGGTAAAAAGGGGCTTCTCTGGAGGTAATGGATCTTGAAACTGGTTCCTTTAGAAACCTCTTATGCCCACAAACCCCTGGAAAAGTTGTAGGGTATGCCAGAGGTGCGTGTTGTTCAGTTGGGAGATACAGTTCAGCCTTCTTTCCCACACCCTCCCTTTGGCTTCTGGATTACCATGCTTACTGTGCTTAAAGCAAAGTACAGGGGGTGGGATGGGGAGCAGTAAGGAGCCTGGGCTGGCTTCTGTAGAGATTTCCCACAGGGGACTGGTGGAAAATAAGCTCTAATAGGGCTCGGAAAACCTCTGCAGTGAAGTCTCCTCTTCCAGCCTCAGCTCCAGTCACCCTGCCTCAGTGTTCCAGACACACTTGCCATTCTTTGTCAGTCTTCATATTTCTGCTCAAAATGCTAACCCTCCATAACTTTTTCTGTCCCCACCTACTGCCCAGGCGGAATTATTTTCTCCCTTACATGAATTAATTTGGTGCAGTCTACATTCTCCTGTAACAACTTTTATGCCTGTAAATTCATTTTATATGTGTCTGTCTCTATACATATATTGTAAGGACAATGTGCTTCATGTGCTTAGCAGAGGGTTGGTCAGAGTCTATTTGTATGGATTTCAGTGAGAGTTAGTCATCATTCAAATGTTTGACAGCTGAGCAGACAACGGTAAAAGAGGCAGGAGACATAAGTCATATAGCAAAACAATGTTGGAATACTGTAATAAAAATAGTACTTTAGGGAAATTAGTTTGAGGTAGAATTTATTGAAGAAAAGATAAATTAGAGATAAGGAAACCAGCTAGAAATCCATCACAGTTAATTCAGGGGTGTAGTTTCATTCCCATTATCTGCTCAAGGACATAACTCTAGTAATTCATTCTTTCTCTCCATCACCATTTTTTTCTCTGTCTCTCATGGATCTTTCCAAGTACCATGTAGCCATGCTATAATTTCTGCCATTTTAAAAAAAAGACTCATGTTTTTCTCCTTATGTTTCTCCTCACTTCTATCTGGTTTTTCTGCCCATGTTTTACAGGAAAACTTACAAAATTAACTCTGTTCTCTGTTTCCAATTGTCCTTTCTCCATTTTCTCTTGAACCAGTCAGTCTGTCATTCCCACTGCTCCATTAGAAATATACTTGTCAAAGGTGCCAAGAACATACCTGTTACTAAATCCAGTGGTTAGTTCTTGGGTCCCTTCCTATGTACCCTTCAGCAGTACCTGAGAGTTCTTTCCCTGACTTCCAAGCCACCCCCTTTTCCTTATTTTCCTTTTACCTTACCAACAACAATTTCAGTCTCTTTGGCTCTTTCATTGTTTCCCCTACCATATAAATACAGGAGCCTCAGTCCTTAAGTCTTTTCCCAATCTGTACTCTCTGTCTTGGTGATCTCATCTAATGTTACAGTTATACTCTTCTTACATTGATGATGCGCAAATGTACATGTGAATCTAGCCATGATGTCTCCCCTGAACTCCAGACTTATTCAGCAGTCTATTCATCTGTTATTCATTCATCTTTGATTGGATGTCTAATACTCACTGGATGCCTTTGCTGCCATATCTGCTTGCCCACCCTCTTCCTCATCTTACTTGATGGCAATTTTATTCTCTTAGTTCCAGAGATAATCAACCTTCGATTTGTCCTTAATGTCTCTTTTTGTCATGCCCCACATTAAATCTGCCACCAAATCATTTAGCTAGGCCTTTGAAATATACCCCACAGCCTATTTCTTCTCACTCTTTTCATTGCTGTTGCCTGGGTTCAAGCTGCTATCATGTCTTACACCATTACTGCAAAAGTGCCTAATGTTTGTGCCTCCACTTCCACTCCAGCCTGTTCTCAACATAGAAGCCACAGTGTTGCAGTTATCTGTCCCTGCATCAAAAGGATGAACGAACACAAAACAAGAATTAAACAAAACAACACCCCCAGAACTCAGAGACTTGAATAACAATACTTTGTTATTTGTCGTGATCTTGCCATCTGGGCTACTTTCAGCTGATTGACTCCTCCTAGGCTGCTGAGGATTAGACATTTAAGATGGCATCTTCCTTCACATGTTAGAACATCAGCCAGGATAGCTGCAAAGCTCATGGCTGGCCGGACATCCATCCCTCTTTATGAGACCTCTCTACATGGCTAACTTGGACTTTACATCACGTTGGTCTCAAGTAGTTTTACTTTTTAACTAATTATTGACTTTCAGCTTATCTCACTATGGCATCAAACTCAGACTTTAAGTCTCTAAATTGGATCTCCAGATGAGGATGATATTTCTCTGGTGTAGTTTCTTTAGTGCATTTTTTTTTTCCTAAAGTGGGAGAAGAGTAATTATTTCTTGAGTGCAGAAACCTATAACTAAAAAGATTATCTGCTGCCACAAAGATAGGACAATTTCATTAAACAATACTGTTTCAAAACAAGACAATTGAAGGCATATAACTGTCACTAGTCAATAGCAAGTCTGAATACAGCCGCCATATGTCCCAAGTTCTTGCTCTGGAAGTAAGACATGTTCCTGATTAAGGTTTAAATTTGTTCCCTAGGAATGATTCTCTGTGGCTTTAACTTTATCTTTTGCACATTGGGCTCCTTTTCTCATTTCTTCTTTCTTTTCTATAAGAAATTATTTTTGCTATTCTTTGCAGTGGAGTAGCCTGCTTCCTGCTATTAGAGGGGTAATTATTTAGAGACCTTTTGTATACTTCCTTTTGTTTAACTGCTTTTTGTTTTTAATTTCAATGATCTTTAAAATTTGGGGGCTTCCTGTGAATTTTATTGGGATTCTCTCACTCCGCTAGATAAAAGACATAACCAGAAAATCCTTCAGGCAAGCTCTACTTTACTTTGTCAGAAAGTCAGGTTGCAGTAGAAGCCCATAACGTTTTTAGAAGCTCCTTGACCAGTTGGCAAGGTCTATGAGGCATCACTTTAAATCTTTCAGAGTTCTTAATGAAGGGCCTTCCTGCCACACACTTGATTTGATCTTCAACCTGAGAACACATGTAATAGTAGACCCTGGATTTGATCTTTGCCCTGAAATTACTTATTTCTTGGATAATCTTTTGCTGCCTGGAAAGGCAAGAATGAGATTCAGTGTTATTTTCCAATCTAGCAAGTCTTGAGTTGAACTATTTTATCACTGCATTTCTGGCTTTCACTAACAACGTCCTTGCCTCTCTCCAGGTGTCTACCTAACACTTGGTCTCATAGCAGTTTCAGTGTTGATAACTAATTTCCATATAATAAACTTCCCCAAAACTTAGTGGTGTAAAATAAAAACCATTTTATTTTCTCAAGCCTAAAAATTAGGACAAGACACAAAGAGAATGACTTGTCTCTACACTGCAATGTGTGTGACCTCAGCTGGGATGGCCCAAATGGTCAAGGGATGTCTGAGGTGGCTCAGACATTAGGTCCCATATACAGAGCTTCAGTTCTGGCTGTAGGCTGGGCTCCTTGGCTCTCTTCCACTTGTCTTTCCACATGACTGATTTGGACTTTCTCACAGTGTGATAGTTTCAGGGTTGTCAGACTCTTTACAACTTAGCCAACTTCTGTAAGAGAGAAAGTTGGAGCTGTAAGCTCTTAAGGCTTGGATATGGAATTTCCAGACAGTAACATTTGTTTTATTCTTTTGGGAAAAGCAAGTCAGAAGGCCATCCAGAATTGAAAGGGAGAGGACAAAGATTCCACTTCTCCATGAGTAGTGTCAGGCATGTTTATGGGGAAAGGCATTGATTAATGGCAGCTGTCTTTGG